TACTATAAAAATAAAATTATTTCCAGTAATTATATTCCTTTGTAATTAATTAATAATGAAACATTATTAAAACATTTTTTTATTAATTGTTATTTATTATTATAGTAATTAGTGTCATTACAATACATATATACATATATACATATATATAAATAACTTAGTGTAGCAAATATATTTCAAAATAGCGACGCACCTATTATACTAAAGTTAATCAATTCACACGCCTATATCGGGTTAATGTAATGTTTGTATAATATTTGTAAAGTGAAAGATGAAAATTAAATTGGGACACGAATGACTTATCATGTGTAATAAAGGACCGAAAATCATCGTGCATTAAGAGTTAAAATTAACCATTCGGTTCGTAAAAAAGATCTTGCAAAAACGATTTCTTTCAATTTGTTGTATATTTACACGATAACGAATAATGGAATAATGGAATATTCGGGAAATCATCGTACAAATGAACACCGAAAAATGATTTCTCTTTTAGTGAGAGAAAGACAAGTGAAAAATGTAGAAGAAACTTTTTTATTAATCATGTATATATTTTTTGAGAAAAATTATTTTGATTGCTGACGAACGTGCTCGTATTCACACACATTTAACTGTTGGCATTTGTGTGTGCGTTTGACTTATAAAGACGCTTGTAACCTTGGAGTTTATTTGCTCGATACTACGAAGGTATTATATTATATATAATATGTCACTATACACACACAGAGAATACGCTGTCTATTAATACTAAGTGCTGACATCATTATTATTAACTTATCTTCCGAAAAAAATGATTATACAATTACGAAGACCTGATATGAATACCTTTTCTTAATACTGAAAACTTGTGGCGATAATGTTCCAATTGCACTTATTTATTAAAAATAACTATTTACTATATTCTAAGCAATACGTAATTAAAGAACAGCATAATATCTTCACATTGAAAATAATTCTCGAAAAACGTACAATCAATAAAAAGCTTCTATGTATTCTCTTTTTATTTATTTTTCATTGTGAATTGCTTCATCTCTCAGTCTTATACTTTACAAATTATAATTTATTAAATATCTTACACAATTTTGACTTGAGATTTTTTTCAAATAAGTATTATTTTATTATAAATATTGACTATACTTTAATGTAAAAAAAGAGATAGATGAAAAATATGAAGCGCCATTCTTTAATTGTGTTAACTATAGAGAAGAGAGCGGATTTGTGAAGGTAATTTTAGAAATGTTTCAATTAAATATTTTAAAAGCTTCTCTCTCAATCATTCGCAAATGAATACGATACAATTAATATTCTCCTGTTTAATAATGAATAAATCAACTGTGATCGATATCTTTGCGATGCAACGTCGTTCATAGAGAGGTTTTTTTTTGCAATAATGTTTATATTTTTTAAGGCTTCGCTTGAATCTCACACGATAATAACAAATTCAATTTGCGCATTTATATACATAGCATACGCTCGTCGAGAAGAATCCGAATATATAAAATAAGAGATGAGCGATATTATATTCGATTTTCGATTCTCGCGCGTTCCTCTTTGTATTTGCCGGATAAAACACGGAGATAACGCAAAGATACCGATCGACAGAACATAACAGCTCACTCGCTTAACGCGATACAATACATATGAGAGTGCCGACTGTAGCTTGCGCCGGCGCTGGGGAAAAAAAAAAAAAAAAAAACGGTTTGTGACAACGCTGTTTCATTGGATCGCTCGCGCCTCGCACGATAATACGGAAAACCGAAAACGATCCCGAGAGGATGTAATAGACGAGATAAGGCCCAGCGGCCGCGACGCAACCGAGCTAACGGAAAACCGAATAGTTGGGCTCTAAATCTCGTTGTCAGGGGGTCGAATTCATCGTTTTTCCGACGCATCCGGCTGTGATCCAGCATCGCTCGTGCCGCGTGCGTAATTCGACATTCGAGCGGGGGCAACTGGCGAGCGCGCGTGGCGTGTGGCGCGTGCACGCATGATCCTGCGCTCGTTACCACACTGACAACGTGGACTCGACGACGACTCGCCTGGTCGCCTCCGCGTGCGTGCGTTCGTGCATTCGTGCATTCGTCCGACGCGACGTTCAGCGACGTTCAGCGACGTTCAGCGACGTTCGCGAGACCGCGAGACCGCGAGACGTGCATCCGATCGAAAAATCGGCGTCCCCCTCCTCACCACGTAACGTATCGTCGTAACGTATTGAAAGTCCGTTCGTGTCGAAAATCCGATCTCGCTAGCTGCTGACCGATTAGTGTACCTCTCTTCATCATCCGGCTTCGATCGATCGTCATCAAATTGCGGCGTTTTCTTCGTGATCAAAGTGTAGTTTTTTTGTCGGCGCGATGGTTCATCGCCAGCGTGACGCTTTTATCACGATATGTATGATATCGTCCATCTCGAGCACAACGTATTATTGTGCGTATGTGCGTATGTGTGATGTGTGACGACAACGGGTGGGCAGTGGTGCAAATAGTACAGTTCGACGAACTTATACACGATTCGAATCCTCGTTGTCAATTACGTGCCTCGTGAAAAATATCATCTTTAGAATTAGATTGATTAGTAGTCAATGGAGGACTTAAATATTCGCTTATTCACACTTACGCGAATTCATCGAGTTCCTGGCGATACAACTTGCGACTCGACAACGAACTCTGTGATTCGTTTGTTTTTTGTCCATCCGTGCTCGTCGTATATTCGCCTTGCCAAGTTACATTGTCCACGGTAAAAAAAAAAAAAAAAAAAAAAACGCTGGAAGGTTGTACTCGCGATTATCGCCTGTCTGGCAATAAACTTATAATCGTGAGTGTCGTTCGAAACCTCACTACGGAAACAATGGCCATTGTGATGAGAATTCGGAATAATAAAGTGGTTTATCTGAATATACCTGGTAAGATAGTGGAATATACATATTTGTTAATTTTTCTAAGGAAATTATTATAAACTCGTATTCGCGCGAATACGATTCTGTTGAATGCGCACATCGTGTCGCGCGTTTGCACGTGTGCCGATGTATGTACATGTAATCTTTTAACACGTCAAAATAGTTAGGAACACGTCGTCGAGTTTTTTTTTCAAGTATCGATTTTTAAGATATTGCATCTTCCTTTCTTCCGATCTTTCCGAAAAACATAGGCCGGTATTCATAGTCGATTATTAAGACTGTCTCAATTAAACATAAGATGTTATTAATCAGTCATAAAGCCGTATTAGCATAAGACAATAACTTAAGATGGAACGAACCGTGAATATCGGCCATAAACTTGTTATTGATAATCAATAATTGAATGTCAATAACTAGTCTAATATTTCACTTACGATTGTTGACCCAGTTGAAAATTACCGATGTGCGTTATATTATGTAATTTGATGATGAAATATATAAATATATATCGGATGTCTATACAAATTGTGCAATTGCAATTTCAAGAATATATTGCTTACAAGATAATTATCATTAAAGTACATCTTAATTAAATGAACGAAACGTGCTTTGATTGGATTTTATAACGTGCAGATTTTGTTATAAAGAACATTGGCTAAATAGTTAAGTTAATTAATAAAGTTGATAAATTAAAGTTGAGAATCGATCGTGTTACAAATAGCGTTACTATGAACTTTCGAGTTATTTCGACAAACGTCCCGATCTGTCGATAATATTTTGTGTGTGTTGTTCCGCATTCAAATAAATAAATACCTTCTCGACCTTGTAGTCACTACAAAGTATTCAACAGGTCACGTGTGCTTATCGTGTTTACGTGTCTTACTATCGTATTTACGACTTTAATGCTTGAAACATTATTATAATGCTTGAAACCCAAATTATTTTACATGGAGTTTGTTTAAGTTTGTTTAATTCGTCGCGTGTGTCTACCTACAATAATGTTACGTACTTAAATACACATCGTAATCTTAATCTCACTGCGCTGGTCCATTCGGATTTGAGTGTTTGATTCTAAATATAATTTATTTCTTTACTAATATTTTATTTAAACATATTTTCTCTGATTAATTGAAATTAATAAGGAACTAATGCCCGTATTCATAGTCAGACTTTGTACTAGTGTTTCATCAAGACAAGATTTCTTGTCTTAAAAAGCATTTCTTTTGTCTTTTCTTGATTTTCAAGATAAGAAATTCGTTTTTCTTGTCTTGACATTGTATTTTTTGTCTTAAATTCAAGAAATTCTTGAATTTCTTGAAATTTCTTGATTTTTTTTTAAGCAGGACCCTTGTGACTCTTTAACTACGTCATCTTGTAAGAGATAATAAAAAAACAGGTACAAATTGAATGTCAAGTCGTCTCGTAGTTTACTATGTTTAAATTCATCGTTTAAAAGTGTTCCTATAATGTTTATTATGTCAAATCTATTAATAAAGATTAAAAATATTTCTTAAATTATCATTTTTAATATCATGAGGCTGCTGCCAAATGTAACTATTTCAAATTATTAGATTCCTAAGATTATTAGATATAATAATAATTATTATTATTACTATATATTTTATCAATTTAATCATTCCTGATTTAATTGATACTATTATAGTAGAAGTACGCAGATGTTTATACATAATATATTTTTGCAAGTAATCTCGCAATATTAATTTTATATATATTCCTTTACAATAATGTAAAGGTTAATATCTGATACAACAAGAATGTATCGGTGAATATAATTTAATTTGATTAGATCATAGACAGGGATTTCATTTTTTCAATAATCGATTCAATAATGCTATTTTACTATTTAGTGAAAATGTACGAATATACACTTCTATTATCTGTTATAACCTGTTATAAATATCAATAAATGCAATTGAAAATGTTAAAGCTAAACCTAAAAGTTAAACCTAACTTATTCAAAACTTTTCAAATCAGAAATAAAATAATAAAATATTAAAATAATAAAGTATTAAAAATAGAAACGGAAATTAAAGAAATTTCAAGAAATTTCAAGAAATTTCAAGAAATTTCTTTATTATCAAGACTTATTATCAAGAAATCTTGGTCTTGATAATAATTTCTTGTCTTGTCTTGAAATCAATTTCTTGTCTTGTCTTGAAATCAATTTCTTGTCTTGAAATCAATTTTCAATTTCTTGTTTTGGATTTGTTTTGATTCAAGACAAAACCAAAATAAGATTTCTTGAATTTCTTGATCTTGATGAAACATTACTTAAGCCTTGTACTTAAGGCTTCCTTAAATTTATCTTTAGATGCTCAGCAGCCAATGAAATAATTCGTAGAGTATTTAGAGTATTATAAAGATAAATTTAAGGAAGCCTTAAATATAAGGCCTGACTATGAATACGAGTATAAATCAAAGCTCAATTAGGTTAATAATTAAAATAAAAGGCTAGCTAGATATTAATGCTAATTATAATTAACATTAAACATTTAGATTTAGCTCGTAGTCCTTTATTTTGTCATTTTGATTATTTTTTTTCTGATATTTGATGCCTTCGCTGTTAATCTTTCTTCGCTTAAATCTTAATTTATGTAATCTTTAGTATGATACACAAGATTGAATTCATTCGCACTCATTCGTGTTTTGTGCATTTCTTTCCTTGGAAATACTAGAAGCACTTGGCAAAATAATGATTCCTTCTTTTTTCTTAAAAACACACACACAATTTTGCAAGTACTTTCTAAAAATACTTACTAAAAATACTTTCTAAAAAATATTGAAGTATATAAGAATCACTTAATAATTTTTGTATATTTGTGAAAGTGAAAATTAATCCAGGACACAAACGATCCATCGTTTGTACTAAAGGTTAATATAAAAGTTTTTTTCTGTGAAATTTTTTTTATTTTTTACAGCTTTTTAATTATTGATCCAAACAATATGATTGTATAGTAAATTTGAACAGACCAGCATGCAGAGTTAACTAGAAAAGTCGAGTGGAAAGTCGGATGGAAAAAACGGTGGAAAATTCTGAATTTTACCATTCCAGTCAAATAAACTGGCAGGAACTATGAAAACGATTAATACGTAGTACTAAAAAATGTATTTTTATACTTTTTTATGCAAGAAGATATTAATTACGGAAGTTCAAATAAAAACCAAACGAACTAACAATAATAAACTAATGGCAACAATAAAACCTTATAATAAAATCTTTTTTAATTAAAATTAAAGTGTGAAATACACTTGGAAAAACAGAAACTTTAGAGATAATACAAATGCTATTAAATTGTATATTAATTTTTAATTGCATGAGAAAAACATGATAGTATACAGCAAAAATTTTTATACAATATTTGGTTCGTGTTTACTATTCAATATTTTGACAAGAAACTAATTTATTTATTGATTCTTAATCTATTATCTACGAACTTTATTTTGTATATCGCAAATGATTGTTAGGCCCGTTTTCAATATGATTACCTAAATATTAAAGGTAACCAAGAAATCAAATTTATGAGTGAATTTCATTGATGATTTGTTGGTAACCTTGAAGCTTTAGGTAACCATAAACTACGATGTAGTTTATCACCTCTAATGGTGATATACAATATACAAATATACAATATGAAAGCTTTTTGATTGTTCAATATAATAAATTTTACAAATCTCTTTGAATAACCGTCAAGTTGTTTGTCGTGAAGAAGAAATCAAATATTTTGCGATTGTTATTCTTATCGTCATTAGTAATGAGTATATATCTTACGATCGTTATATTACGACACATATTTGTATAGTTAAGGCTGACTTTTTTCTCAATTAAAGCATATTAAAATTATATGCAATTTAAATCTAATGTGACGATATTTGTGATTTTCAGCGCCGAAATTAAAAGGTAGACCACGAAGAAAACGTAAAAAGCGCAGCGCTTCGCCGGGCGAATCCTCGAACGAGAGCGAAGCTTCAGTGGCGTCGACGTCGAAGAGTACGTCGGCGATCACCAGTCTGGTGATACCCACGGTCGGAAGACCGCCCTTGTCCGGGATACGGCGGAGCGAAAGGAAGACCAGCGCGGAAGAAAAGAAATTCATCACCGACGTGCAGAGTTTTATGAACTCTCGGGGTACGCCGGTCGGAAAGATGCCACTGCTGGGCTACAGGCAGAGTCAGTATCTTGTTATTTTTCCTCGGATTTTCTATCCGATGACCGGTCTTGCCACCGGAAGGGCAGACCGTTTCTCTGATTTTTCAAATTTCTATTCGCGCAATTCCGGTAGCAATTTGGCTGCCAGACTGCAAAGAGCTAAGACAGCAGGGTTTCCTTCTCGCAAATTATATATCACAATTATTTCGTGCTTACGGCTCTAATAATCTTTTTTTTTTTTCTCCATAGTCGATCTGTTCCTGTTCTATACAAAAGTGCAAATGCTTGGTGGTTATGACTCCGTCAGTGCTGGGCGTCTTTGGAAGACCATATACGATGACATCGGTGGTAACACGGGTTCTACTAGCGCAGCGACTATTACACGTAGACACTACGAAAGGTAAAGTATTTTAGCGGATTCTTATCACGCAATTGTTTTTATTTGAGCATTAATATCCCTGTATACAAATATTTAAAAAATTTTTAAATATTTTTTTAAATATAGATTATCCCCTATAAATGGGTTTAAATTATAAAAAGATTTTGTTGTATCTGCAGATTATTATTACCTTACGAAAGGTATCAGCGAGGCGAAGAAACAAAAGTGAGACTGAACCTCGGACGACGTACCAAGAGTATGAGTGCATCCGAAGATTTAGACATCAAGGAGGAATCGAGCGAGCTCTATATGTCGGAGACACCTCCACCAATAGATGTAATTCCTGCGACCACAACATCACCCTTACAACCAATAATGTCAGCAACAACAACGGTAATTGGCAACACTAATTTAATTAACGTGAAACTATATTTAATGCAACTTAATTTTTTCATACCATATCTTTTCCCGCTTGCAGACTTTACTCTTGAGTGAGAAACCCAAAGCCGAAACTGGCAAGACATCCTCGTTACGTAGCGTGCGAGTGAAGCCGGAACGCCTGAAATCTTTGAATACAATAATCGCCAATAATGCGACACCTTCCAGCCAGCAAGCTAGCCAACTGCCAAGTCCACCGCCATCCTCCAATACATCTATCTCGACGCCCAATAGCACACCCTCCACAACACCGACGAATGGTACCAGTAACAATCAGAGTGTCTTGGAGAGGCAGCTCAACAGTCCTTTGATATCCCAACAAGTTCCACCATCGTGTTCGCCACCAGGCTTGCCTGTGACTAGTGTAGCGGCAAACGTGTCGACGGTTGTCACTCTAACGCCTCCACCTGAGAAGGATATGAAGGAGATCAAGTTGGATCCCAAGCAAACAACTTTGCTGGCACAAGGCAAGGAAAATATACCACTATTCGGCGGCGAGAAATTCGCGGAAAAGACGATAATGCCACCAGTCTCCAGATCACCTGAAGTGATTGACCTTGAAAATGAGAATGACACGAGTCGAGACAAAATAATCATTCCCAGCTTTAAGAAACGTAAACTCGAGATTTTGCGTGAAGGCGGTCTCGAAGTTACCGCCGTCGATCTGGACGTGCGACCGAGCGTAATTCAAAGCTGTGTTGGTATGTCGCCGCAACAACATCAACAGCAGCAATCGCCATCATCCTTGCCTGCTACAATGAAGTCTACTGAAGAGAAGCAACCATCGATCTCGCCGTATCCACTTCCAGTTACGCCCAACTCCATTCCTAAATTGATATCCGTCACTGTGACACCCGACATAGGACATATGTTACCGTCGCCGCATGAGCATCAAAATCATCCGCCGCGAATACCAACGATTAAACAATTACCAGTTCATCACAACAATAATAATATTAGCATGATGAATAACAATAATATGATAAACAGTCGAATAATAAATCTCGGTAGCTCGAACAATACCGCGCTATTGCAACTGTATGCGAATGCGAACGTCGTACCATCAACCATTTCGTCTGTGCAACAATCAAGCCATCGTTTCGTTCCACCAAATATTCCAAATGGCAGGTTATTACTACCAAAGGTGACACAATCAAGGTCAATATTTATGCACAATGAAAGGACAGTTTATGGAAATCCCAAAGATATTTTGAACTCTCCTCCAAAATATCACTCGCCGCATCCGCATCAACAACAGCAGCAACAACGCTCGCAGCAACATTCACAAATGAGCTCCAGCAACGACATCGGACAAGGAGGTGTTCTCGATCTGACGCAAAAGAACGAGAAACCGACGTTCCCTAGGCCCAGTCTAGAAATAGTCAGAGTACCTGTAGTGCAGAGGCCTAATCCATTAAATCTGGACGTGCGGAATTCACCCGTAGCTAAGGACAAATTGTCGGAGAGATCTGTCGTCGACTGTCCAAAGCGAATACCTTTCCCTGCCTACCAAAATGTAATTGACAGTCGAACTATCGCGTCGAATAACCTCGAGATTACGCTAGTGAATCCCAAGCACAAAAACAATCATCACGTCATACCGTCTCATGTTCAAATACCGAGTCCACCTAATAAAAATGCGATAGGAACGATAAGTAGCGTGCAAATGAGACAGCAACAATCGCAGCAACAAGTGAACGGAAAGTATACGGTGAGAAATGAGCCTATTTCGCCGTACACACCAAGGAAGCCAAGTCATCCCATCATACCAAACGTACCCAATCTGAATCATTTGAATCATAGTGGAAGTTCATTTCCTAGAATTCAGGCAACGACATTGCAACCACAACAACAAATGAGCATTGATAGAAGGAAAGCGGCTGCGGAGGCCGGTAGGGATCATCAACATCGTAGGATTAGTGAAGGCGAGAAATCATCATCTTTGGCAGCGCAACAGCAGCAGCAGCAGCAGCAACATCATCATCATCATCATCAGGAATCCAGGCAAAACGAGGCTGTGCGGCGACACAGTCTATCCAGCATACCATCGGGATTCGTACCGACGGTACCGCAAAATAATTCTGCTCCCTTTCCTCTGCCACAATTGCCAAACGCGTCCGGCAAGTTCCTACCAATTCTGGACCCCATGTACTACTCCACGTTCTATAACGGTTTGTTCCCACCGCCGATTCCGCCCACGGCCACCGCAACTGCTGCCACCGCGTCGTCGTTTTTACCGCCGGAATTTAACGCATATTACAAGGAATTACTTGCTTCCTCGCAACCAAGACTGACGGGGATGACGGGGCAGTCGCCGCATCAACAGCCGGCCGCTCCAACGTCTAAATAGACAATGGGATCTCAACATTTAGGGTTTCCGGCATAGCGAAAGACGCTTTGATTACTAGAGAGACAAGGATCCGTCGGACTTCTTTGCTGTCGAAATGTATATCAGCAAATGACGCGATATAATGATGAGAGTGATGCGATTTGTTCAAATTATATGTTCAGTTATGTTGTTTTTATTCGATTAAAGCAACAAGACGAAATTATTCACAGTGTTTATTCATGATAGAACAAAGATAATTCCGCAAGGTCTCGCGCAAAGGTAAAATGAAGTATCGGTCACACTAAGTTTAGATGTTATAATGAAAACGAAAATATGTATTCAAATTATGATATATTTCATATCATTACAGTTACAAATATTTCAATTACACATTTGGTGAAATGCAATAATATGTGGGCCTTGTTATGCGCGCATAACATTGTGTCGCTCGATTTGATATAATTAATAAGCTTTAATATATAATTAATATTTTTAAAATAATTTTTAAATAATAACGTACTATAACGTTATATCCAATATGTGCGAGTATATTACAAACCCTTTTTCCGAAATTAGATTCTTGATTCGTACTTGCACGAGACTCTAGAGGATTATCGATATTAAGAAAAAGATGCTGTGATAAAAATATGACACAAACTGTATTGCTATTCAAGGAGAGAGACAGTCGATGGAATCCACAGAAAATCGTTATTTTTATATGTTTATTTTATATAAATTGTTTACGCGCGTTTTTGATTTTCAATTAATGTTATAAGACGAAATATTCTGATTTGGAAACTTGCATTACCTGTGCTATGCTAGAGTTTCCTGATGTCTCGTTGAGAGCAATTACTTTTTTCTTTTCTTCACGTATTTAGATATATATTTTCAAAAACGTATCATTACCGTATTAATTTCAAATTCGTCTTCGAGTCTTTATTTTCGGTTTTCGTTTTGCAAGTGTACATTTTGATTTATTTTGAACGCACCATGTGATAAACCCGATGCGTAAAAAAGAAAAAAGAAAAGAATTATGGCGAACGTGTAGCTGGCGGATCACCGGAATGTATAATGTATTGTTTACTGTGTGTAACGGAGTAAATCTTATGTAGTAACGCTCGCGAAAACCCAATGTACTGTGTATAAGCTAGACAATTTTCATTATAATAAAAAAAGAAACACTCGTACACAATCACATACACACTGCTCTATAGTCACCTCTAACGATATAAGCGCACGTATGCAATATTATAGCAGCGACATGTATATAATGTATATAAACTACGTAAATCATTAAGCTAGACAAATCTTACATTATCTCTCAACATATTACGTAAGAAAGTTAAGTTTAGTAAGTGTACACAGGCTGTCTTGCTCGTGTGGCCAACGATTGTCGTATCGCTGTTTTTCCTTCGGAGGAAAGAAAACGATATTTTTCTTCACATTTCCGATGGTCTCTTTTTTCGCTCGGAAGACATTTGTGACGATCTTTCGTTTTCTAACGCGCCAACGTGTCAACGTGAGGGAGCGCGCGATGTAAGCTTTTCGTTTTATCTCTGTAAAAAGCATCCGGAACCGCGTGCAATCAATTAATTACTTGTTACGCGATCGCTACTAAACGTGATCGAACATCGCGGGCCACCACAATACTTTGGAAACAGATTTTAAAAAATTACCGACGGTATATCCATGTTAAATGTAGGCATATTGATAGAATTTGTTCGTTTTAGGATACTCTGATCAAAAGAATACTAATAAATATGAGAATAACGTTAAAGCATTCGTAACCCTAAGACGTACAAGAGGAAGAAAGATCCGTCGTTTCGGATCGTTCTAGCGAAAAAAAAGAAAATCAGATTTCTATATTGATGTCTTTCAAGAGTATGAATTATTCACGTTTTTTCGGATGGTTCTTTCGTGATAACAAAGGCGTTGCGGCGCCGATTGCGAGACCGCGGCTGATTAACAATAGCCTTCCAGTGGTATTCAACGAGTCGAGAAATAGAATTCGATATTGATTATCGATCAGCGCGAAGGGTCAGGACATGAGACGCTACCACTGTTGTTATTTTTGTAAGACCGCGGCTGACTTCCGGCGACCCGGGCGCGTCGCGACTACGCCGTCGCGTCGCGTCGCTTTTCGACATGGTGCTATGCGACGAAGAAATTCTATTGTAAGTCTTTTTCGAAAAAATTTTAACGGGCGTTGTTGGGTACCAGTGGATCTTTGGCGCGATCGCCCGAAAGAACTACATACACAATCTTAAGATAGATCTTCACGTCCAAGTCTGATAAATATATACAGAAACAAAAAAGTTAAAGGAAAACTCCACGGGTTCTAGCGTATGTATAAAGAGAGGAAAGAAGGAGGTAGTCGAGTATACGGATCTCCGTTATGATTACGATTCGCTGTAATATCGCGGGGTTCGTACAATGCTGCAGCGGCAAGGAAAGCGAACGCTGCAAGATGGACGAAGAGGACGGCAAAGCGGATGTCGTCGTCGAGTCTCCGCAAAGGGAAAGGCTTTTATGAGAATACGTGCCATAAAAAAAAAACTGATTAGATAGCGACTACGAAATCGAACGATAGCGACGGTCATTTGTACATGCTTTTGACGAGCCCCTTAACTGCAGTTCGAAAAACTAAGAAGGTAGACGCGAATCGAAAAGAAAAAAGATTAAGGAGAATAATTACAATGTGCAAAGAATTCCACGTGGAAGATTTTATATGATTTTTCGTTTATATTCTGTTACCGCGATTGTTTTATAAATCTCGAGTCCTTTTTTTAGCGCGCGTGAGAGTGTACGGAATAAACGTGCCGATGAATGAGTGAGAGTGAGTCGCGGGAGAATCTTCGAATGTTTCGAGAAGAAGAGTCTATGATTGTTTTTCGTTTTTTGCGAGTTTTCTCTTCATTTTGTATACTTAGTAAAGCGATTTTAGTATAACCCTCGTTTTCCCACTTTAATAATAGTAATTATTACGATACAAATATTTTTTATTATATATGGGCATTTCAGTTCCTAAGTTGGAAATAAAATATCTACTATAAACGGATTTTCTTATTGCCACGCACCAAATAAGAATGAGCTATCGTATCTCTGCAATCGCAAGAACGCATTTTTGCTCTTTAGGTCTTTGCTGAAAGGCGTACTTGCAGATTTTTGTTTCGAAAAAGTTTCCCTACATTTACCTCCCCCTACGATATGTCTATGTTTTATACCTTTAAAGAGAGAGATTGATCGTTCATGAAATTCTCTCAAATTTGTTTCTTTTTCTTTTTCTTTTTTTTTTTTAGAGAAAAACAATAATTAATTTTTTTCTTACACCTTGTATATTTTTGAGAAAATACAAAGAAATTTAATTGTATTGTATATTGACAAATACAGCAATAATTTAAATAATCTTTCTGTCTTAATACTATTTCTTATCATGTAACAACTTTAATTATATTCATATTGGCATGTGCTTATTACTATTAGAATTATAAATGCTAATTACTCGCATGGGCGAAATATATTTATAAAAAAAAGGCATATTTGCAATTATAAACGTACAATTATACAAGTTTTATATATAGAACTAAAGTATTTATTGTTTTGTAGTTGAACGAACTATTAAGTATAGTTATAAATATATAGGTACTTCATTTAATTACCTAAACTACTTTAATTATACGTATAAAACTTGTATAGTTGTCTTTATAATTGCTGTATGATCACTGTTTTTCTCTTATTATAGAATATCAAAGTCTCATCACGGGGACAAAGATCGCGGATGAGATCGGTAAGAAATTAAGATGCCGAGAATGGAGTTTTACTCATGAGAAAGTACACACGTAGCTCCGTGGGTATGCTCATCGTAATCGAGAGATCGTTTCCTATTGGTCCAGCCGTCAGCGCGCGACGTTATGAACTCGGTAAAATGAAAGAAAAAAAAGGCGAAGCACCGCGGCGCGGAATGCACATGTGCCGCGAAATTTAAAATCTCTTTACGACAGCCATAAACCGATAACCTGTTTAACCAGTCCGGTGATGGCGGACTGCGCGGACATTTTATCGTCGCAAAATCATTCCTATTCCGTTTTTTCACCATCCGTTCCGTCGTTTCCGTCCTTTTCTCGCTCCTCTTTTTTTCCTCTGCCCCGAGATGCTCGATCTCTTTGTTTTCGTCGTGTCATTACAGGATATACCGAGGTAATCATCCACGAGCCTGTGCGATTCCATTGGCGAATCACGGAATCGATAATCGATTGCTTTTCGGTATATTGAAGCTTCCAAGGATCACAAAAAGTTTTCCGGGACAAACAATTTATACGTCGCGAAGGTGGTTTTTCTTCTCACAGTCCGTACGATTTTAATTATATAATTATTAATAAAAATTATCTGTAAAAAAGTTGGAGTTTGCTCGATTTTATGAGCGTAACGAAATGCGGATCTACTTCTCAGTTCAATAATGTTATCGAGTTACAGAGAATGCTAAATGACGAGAGTGTTTTTATGAACAGGTGCATTAACACATGGAAAAAAAGTCTGGCATTAATTGGAATGATCTGGTTGAAAATGGATAAATCGGAATTCTCTGGTTGAATCTATTATTATAATTTTAATTCTATCTTGAGATAACCAGAATTCTGATTGATATGATGAAAATTTTTTGTTGAGTCGTTTATTTTCAATCAGAAATTTTTCTGCACATCACTGCATATCACTGCATACCATTCCATGCAGGATTAAATCAAGGCAGCTCAAAATTTAAGAAAACAGCTTGTTTATCTGATTGCCTTTCTTTATTCTTTTCGTGTAATAGAAAAAACATTTCATAATTATCAGTTTTATTGTTACCTGATACAAAATGTTTGGAAAATATTTAGAACAGGGGAAGCAGCTCCGGTAATCTTGACCTTGACATATGTTGTCAAAGTAATAATCAGGATTAGGTAAGTTAATATTTTTCTTTAACTGTGAATTAAGTTGAAGTGAATTAAGTTAAAGTGGCTTATAAAATATTAATAAAATTAAGTTAAAAGTTGAAGGAATAAAAATTAATTTAATAAAAGTTAAGTTAAGATTGAATTAACTAGAGTTAAAAGAAAAGATTTAATTTTGAAAAAAATTATTTTTAAGATCGGAATGTCTTAATTTTTCTTGAAATGAGATTACTTTAAATAACAATTACAATACAGATTATTTGGCAAATTTAATTTTTTTTTTATTCACATTATAAGTTATTTATAATAAGAGTCAAGAGGCGTTTTTGTCAAAATCCTACGAGAAAGAAGGGTATATATTTGTACTATCTCTCTTTTTTTAACTTAATCTAAAATAATAATTAAAAAATTTTTTTTCATTTAAGTACTTATTAAGTATTAAAAATAATTTATGCAAAATTCAGATTTATATTAATTAATTTATAACAAATAAATAT